TATTCAAAATACTAAAAGACAAAGATTGCCAGCCAAGAATACTCTACTTTGCAACATCATTTTTGCTATTTAAATGAACTCCTTAAAAAATATAATTCTGTCAAGCTGGAAAATAGATTTATGTCTCTATCCTTCTTGTTTTCTCTCTTTCTCTTTAATTTTTTCCTCCCTCCTCCCAGTTTCCTTTCTCCTTCTCTTTCTCCTCTTTTGCTCTCTCTCTCTCTTTGTCTCTCTCTGTCTCTCTTTTCTCTCTCTCACTCTCTCTCAATATCTGGATCTCAAGGGCTTTGTCACAGTGGATCAATTATCTCCAATAACCATTGCTATTTCCTGATGACTGGTGCTCATAGGCCTCTGTCAAAGTTGGGAACCAGATAGATAGTATTTTTTTCCTGTACAGCTCAGGGCTATGCTAAACACTTTTAATCACTATTTTGTAATCATGATAACAATTAGACTCAATTTATAGCTGAAAGAAACAAGTCAACTGTAGGTTAATGCCCAAAGTAACACAGTTAATAGAGGACCTGCTAGAGTTAGCTTTTGGAAAGAATGATGCTTTAGAGAAGAATTTAGTTTGGTTGAGAAAGAATATGATTTCTATGAATCACAAAAAATAATAAAACTCTTCTTATTAGAATACATGCCCTATAAAAAGATAAGTAACATAAAAGAAATATTAATGGCCAGAGCTATATGAAAAATATTCTATTCTATAATAATTTTATTATTGCAGTTGGCATTAATCGATTCAAGTTTTTGCTTATTTAGCCTGGGATTACCCTCAATGTTGTATATAATTGAAATTGTTGTTGATGTTATTATTTTAATTCAGCAGTGTTATTGGACACCAGGGATAAAAATAAGAATGGAATTAAAAAGTAGCAAATGTAGAAGGGGCTTTTATTTTTTCTACTCAAGTCAACAGGAATTTATTGGAAATCTTCTTACTGTGTGCACTAATCTGTATTGGGCACTTCAGATTAAAAAGAAATAGACTCTAGGTGCTCTAAGTAATACAAAAAATGTAAAAGCCTATGCCTGCTTTATCACCTAACTAGTTAGTTATTTAAAAAGTTGTTAGTATTATTTTAGATGAATTACAAAAGAAAAACTATTACTACTAAAATTATTTATATTAATAGGAATATTGATAATACCATTATAATTAACTTTCAAGCACATCCTAGAGGGAAGAAGTTAATCTCCACATTCCAAAAGTATGTATTTATATGACTTAAAGCAGAATTTACCATTGAGAATAAAAACTTAGAAAATAAAAAAAAATGAGATTATTCCCAATTTTCTTTTTTTCAACTGCTAATATCAGGGTCATGTGAAAAATGGGTCGTTCTCTGTGTCTCTTCAAATACCTCTCTCATGTCAGACATTTTCACTCACATTGTCTAATTTGATCTTCTCAATAACCCCATGAAATGGGTCTTATTCTGGGTTGGGCTTTCAGTGTACGCTGTTAGAAGTCTCAGACCTGAGAAGTAGTGTTGGCTGGGGTGCATATCCAATGTTCTCTGACTCCAGTCCTTTTCCTTCTGTGGTATTATCCTGCATCTCATCTATTCCAAAAGCCTAATTCCATTTCCATGGTAAGCACTGATGGTTATAGCTTTTCAGAGATTTACTTCCCTATTTTCTACCAGGTTTCTTCCTGATCTAAATTATTGATGATTGATTTTCTCCCAGTTTGGAAATGTCTGTTACTTACAGTCACATATCTGTGCCTGGAACAATCTCTTAATCCAGGAAAACTGTGGATCCTGATGGTGGACCTGTGAGAACAAGCCTTCCTCAACCAGGGCATCTAGTGAGCTGTGGGGCTGTATAGA